CCACACGCAACACCGAACAGAGATTAAGAGAGAATTGAATATTCTATTCTGCAGTGTTTAAAAAAATGATATGACGGAGTCCAGAAACTTCCATTAAGATGAGAAATCAGCTCAGACGAAAACATTACCAACGTTAAAAATTATACTTACTGCATTTAAAATTATTTCTATGAACACACGATCTGGAAATACAAAAAAAAACTAAAAAAGAGATACTGTACACCTCGAAATAATTCGCTCAACAGCTAAATAAAATTGAAAAACAGCGATTCCCCGACTACAGAAATCAGAAACTAAATATCAGGTTTTAAAAAATTAAATAATATAATGGAAAACAGACGCAAAAAGTTGTTCGCTTCGAGAAATAATAAGTAATCAAATCCAGCACGCACTTACGTTTCACCCAAAAAAAAAAATATCAATTCTTGATCGTCCGCGAGACTCGCTTTTTCTTATAAAACTCACGAACTCATTTGATTTCACTCGAAATCAGTCTTCACTCCGTCGCTGTCTGAGCGTCGCTCTTCTCACACAATTTTCTCACTTTCCGCGAACCAACACGCAGTCACTCATAGCGTATCACCGATAACTTCAAAATAACCTGAAAGAAAAACAAGAATTCAGATTCACCAACTGGAAGTATCAACAGCAGATTTGAATAATCATCAGATGTGTTCCATTCCCGCGTAGACACCTTTTCAAAAAATCGGCCAACCTCATAAATTCAGCAGACAGAGTGAAACTATTTCTCATTTGATTTCACAGGTTTAAAACGAAAACTTTCTAGTCCCAGATTCTGGGAAATTAGCATTAACGAACGCCAAGGCCTTTCAAGTGATTCAAAACTGAATCTTCGAACTGGAACAGATTAAAACTAGAGTTAAAATTAGAAAAGCGGAGAAAATTTGAATTCCACTCATAGAAACCCCCACGCCACAAAAAAAAGGGCCAAGATGGGCACTGAAAAATATGGCATCATGAGAAAAAAAAAAGGAAAAATCGTTTGAACATCTGCTGTTTCAAAATTAGTCTGCTGAAATATCACACATAAAAACCTACGCAGGTATGGAACAACCCCTTCGCGCAAATTTCATCCATAATTAACCCATCTAGTTTATTCTTCAGCTCAGTAAAATTCAACGAAAAATGTCTCGATAAAACAGTCTAAATCTCGTGATACGGAGGATCAAAACATCCAAAAAAACAACAAAAAATAATGATCAACTTTAGCTGACGCGTCAATTCCTATAAAATAAAATCACGGCTCGAGCACAGCGCTGAAAGGTAAGATTTCGCATTTCTTCTCTAGACTTTTTTTTGTGTGTGTGTCTGCGAGTCCAAACTGGAATGCTTCGATGAAATCCACATTTCATCGGGTGAGACCCAAGGTCCCAATCCCCATGGTTTTCCCACGATACGCTTCATTCTCCGAAGTGGCAGCTTTCACCAAAAATTCCCCGAGGTCGTGCTTTGACACGTTCCGAACCGGGACCTTAGACTCTTCTATTTGATATTCGCCACTCGCTTGACCCTCGGGAATATCTGCGGAATTATTCGATGAAATATTTACATCGTTGGCGGAATTTTAATTACGGGAATGGTTTGAGAGTTTCGACTTGATTTGCCAATTCAAAATTTATGGGAAACTTGCCTGCAATGTGAGGAGGGTTCACAGCGACCCAGTCCAAATCATCAGTCTTCTTCAAAATGTCCAACATACGCTGATGTTCCTCGGTCAACGGCCTCATTCTTTCAGGAACAGAGTCGAAGTTCCAGAATAAAAACGCTGAGAAATTACAATTTTAATTTGTAAAAGACAGCACGTGTATCAACACATTTACTCAAGTACCACGCACACCCAAATTTTACTGACTTTAAATTTGCAGTACTGTATTTCAAAATTCAGAAAAAAATTAATTTGAATTTCAATACGAATAGAACCTGAATTCAACTAAATTTAAATTTTTCCGATAAAATAGTTTTTTTTCGCTCGAAATAGGTACAAAATTCTCCATTAGAATCAATTAAAATGCACATCTGAACTTATAAAAAAGTTTGAAAAATTTATAATCATCTCTGACGCGCAACCCCATTTTTTCTCCTCAATTCTGAGAAAAAGGTGCACGCGGTATTCGAGTAAAAAAGCGGTATTAATTTGCATCCATCCTTACAAGAGAGACAAACGGAGATCTGTTTTGCGCCTTGCTTCCTCATGCCTTCGAGAATGTTGGACAGTCCTTCCGACATCATTGTTGTTGGACCTTGGGAGTAAGAGAGAAGGCGGAAATTGATTGATTCAGATAAAATCTTGAAGACTCAAATAAATCAAGAAAGATAATGATTAAAAAACCGGCAGTTACGAACTGTACATCCATAAAGTGTAATAAATGGAGGCTCCCGGTCTTCCGTATATACAACAGAAAAGTGCATCGGTGTATAGGTAGATGTCGCTCACAGGAAAATACTTTCTAATCTTTCACTGCGATGCCAGAAGGTATAAACGAATTATAATTAGTGTACATTCATAACCCAAATTTAGTGTCTGATGAAAACAGGAAGTTTCAAGTAATCAAGAAAACGGGCGATTGAGGGAGCGACACCTACATTCCTGCAGTGTAGTCTAATAACCCATGTATGGACAACTACAGTATTACACAATGCATGAATACATGAGGGATAAAAATCGGAAACAGAAGAAGACACATTCGTGATTGATGGTTACATTCAAAACTTAATACAAAATGTTTCTGTTTTATATGAGAATTAAATAAATAAAAAAGAAGCAAGTTTTAATCAAGCTAATGATAGTAAAAAAAAATTAGCAACAGGCACAGATTATTCTTGATTCAGGGTAATGCAGGTATTTAAAACATTAGAATAAATTGAATCATCCTTATCATGATGAAAAGGAACATTCATAAGATTTCCAAAGCTTGATTTTTCTTCCCTAACATGATGAAAAGGAATACTTTGATCATAAAATGTCCACTGTTCGCTTTTCCTTACTATCCTGATGAAAAGAAAAATAATTAAATTTTAAAATTTTCGTCTTTGAATGAAACCCAAACATGATTGATTTCCAAAATAATGGCATCAGAATCTAGATTCAGGGATTTTAGAAGTACAAAGATTTGATTTTGGGAGGTTTGTTCAGATTCCAACAAAAACTTTTACTCACTCAAATCATTTCTTGTTCCCAATGCCACCACCACAGCATCCTGACCCTGAAGCGCTGATGTGACCTTGACGGGATCCAAAACATCCCCAAGGAATGGTTCAACTGAACCAGCGACATCGTCAGGAATCTTTGATTGGTCTCTCACAAATGCTCTCACTTTCAGCCCTGGAAAGAAAAAAA